TGAAGGTTAAATATATATATATATATATATATATATATATTATAATTAAATACTTTATTTCTCTAAACAACAAAAACCTAATACTTAATAGTATCTCAATGGACTATATCAAATTAAAAATAATAGTTTATAAAAAAAAATTATATAACTAAACCATCATTTTAGTCCTTTATATAGATAGTTAATGTTGGACATTTTAATTCTTAGAATATTAAAAATGTCAGGCATTTTAGTCTTAGACTTACTTAATAGACATTAATAGAATATTGACATGTCATATTAAATAACATGTGTGTAATGTGACTTAATATACAACATTATTTTATATATTGAAAAATTTGTGCTCCAATTACACAAATGTTTTCCTTCCCTTTCCATCATTATGTGCCTCTAGTTAGCTTTGTTTCATTATTAGGGTTCCTTTCTTTCACTATTAGGATTCTCATCGTTTTAAATGACTACTAATAACAATAGAAATCTGCTTATGAACTTATCTTCAAGGTCATCACTACAACAATATAGGAGATGAAATGGTAGAGCTTGCTATTGTCTGTTGAAAGCAATTGTTGAGAGTCTCACAAACATAAACTAATCCTGAAAAATTATTCTTTAGATGTCTTAAATATATGATAAATAAAGCTGATTTAGTTGTGTTCAATTGTCTTTTCTAAGAAATTAATTAACTTCTTACATACATATGATACATGTTAGTGAGCATTGTAATTATTTTGCGTGAGTTGATATATAACACTAGTATGGAGGATAGTTTTAATGCTAATCAGGCAACATCTCAAGTAACTTTTCCCCTTATAAGTGTAGTAGTTGTAGACAAAGAATAGAGGAAGAATTTGGCTACCAAGATGACATATTTAAAGGCTAAAATTAGAAAATTAAAGTTTTTTATAGTTACTATTTATTTTGATGTGTATTGGTATGGTATTTATCTTCATGATTTGTATAAGAGTCTAGATAGTAAGTAAATATTTTGTTATAAGATAATAATGTATTTTATTTTAATTAATAAAGTGCACTTTAGTTATTGTCTATGAATTTATTTAGTTTATATTTTCATTTTTTTTTTTGTGATGTAATAACTTAAAACATAATAACAGAATGGGACCCAACACATTCACTAGCACAATTGTTTTCCATGTAGGGACATTTTCTTAATTTCTTAACAAGTTTTTATACAACTCAATCTTGTGTTGATTATTTATTCCTAAAAGTTTTGCTACAATTATGCTTACTAAGAAAAGTTGTGTCACATTGCTTTTTGCATAATATATTTTTCACTTATATTTTTATTCTTACACTTGGCTCTTACTCTCATTTTGTCATGTTTTAGTCACTTAATTTCTCTTTTTATTTGAATAGTATAATCTTTTTTCCTTGACACCTTGTTTGAATAATTCTTAACTTTCAAACCCTATTCCTAACTCGAAGTTCACATTTCTAAATTTGGCTTCATCATTAAATTGGAAAAAAAAAAAGCTTCTTTGTTGTTGTTTTTCCTTTTCCTTTTTCCCTTGCTTTTTGGTTTTTGTTCCCCTTTTGATTTAGCAGACTTACCCTTGCCTTTCCCTTTCTCTTTTTTCCTTGTTTGTTGTTCTTGTACTACTTCTAAGTTACTGGACCCACCATTTACCTTTCCCTTTGGTTGTTCTCTTCAACTTCAACTTGTACTCCTTATGTTGTGTCTTGAACTTTACTTATTTGTTTGTTATTATATCTTTACATATGTCTTGTTTTTGTGTTATGTCTTCAACTTTTACTTATTTTCTCAGTAGTTTAATTTCAACATTATCAAGCAATTGTAGTTATGCAATTTCATACTCATAATATACATGCATCTTCTTTCTATAATATTTTAGCAACAAATACCATATCCAACACATAAGCATTAGGCCGCTCTTGACCTTTTTAGAGCCCTAGGCAAAACAGTAAATTAGGGTCTCTTTAAAAAAAATTATAGAATGTAATAAAACAAAATAAAAGCATATACTAATAATTCTATTAAAATAATATGTTCTTTAAGCAAATACAATTTTTCTAATAAAATTACAAAAAAAAATATTTTTTTATTCAAATAATTCGTATATCATCATCAACTACAAATATACAAAATCATAAAAAAAAAAAGGGTTTTACGAGCATTCCGATGTACAAAATCATTAATGATAACATCCACATCAATGTTTTTCAAAAATTCTTTCTTCATCGATAAAATTGCGAGATCATTCAACCATTCTTGTGACATTGATAATCTCGAATAAGTTCTTATCAACTTTATATTTGAAAAACTTCTTTCACCACAGTCACCAGAATCATTAAAAAAAAATTTATAAGTGATTGAAACATCTTGATAGCAATATATAGATTTAACAAATTCAAGAATTTTAGTGCCTGACATTAATTCATTTGGTAAAGTAAATTGCAATACTTTCAATTCTGAGTAAAGATCATTTAAATCAACATCTGATGAATCACTATAAGAAAAAGTATAGTGAAAAGTAGCACAATATTCTTTCAATTCTTTTTCATCTAATGACTTTAACTTGTTTGAATCAAACAAAACCTCAAAAATACTTTCAAAAGTTTTTAGTTGTTCAAAAAAAGTAATTGTCATGTCCACAACAACCAAAAAATATTCAACTCTAAATAATTCTTCAATCGATTGAATTTCTTCATCCTTTTAGTTATTTTTATCAAATTATTTTTTTTCTAATAACACAACACTTTGTGGGAAGGATAGGCTCTACATCCATATTAAGTGAAATACTTTTAGCATTATTCATACTAGAAGTAAAGCATTGATCTCTATACTTTTCAAAGTATGACAATATAACTTCTAATTGTTTTATGGTGGTGTCAATGCACATAGATTTAGATTGCAATTTCTTGCTTACCATATTTATAGTAAATAAAATTTCATGCCAAATAACCATACCAAGCAAAAACTCAAAACTCTCTAAGTGCAATATATAAACTTTCCGCTTCACTCTTTGACTTTGCATCTTCATAAGATTCATATAATTTTGTCAAAGACAATCTTAATTGTGGAGTTTGAAATCTAATAGTTTTAACACTTTTAATTCAAATCTCCGAACGATTGTTAGATAAACATTTCACAGTTAATTCAAAGACATTGTCAAGCAAAATTTTCTATTTTTTTGTAGAACTCAAAAATAATGAATATATGCGTTGAACAATTCCAAAAAATGAAATAGCTCTAGTGCAAGAATGTGTCATGTCGCTAAGAGTAAGATTTAGACTATGACAAGCACAAGGTATATATAATGCTCTCGGTTTATTTCAAGAAATCACTTTTGCACACTTTGGTACTTCCCTTTTATATTGGAACCATTAACATAACCTTGACCCCTTACATCATTAACATTAAGATCCAAAGACTTTAGAACATTTTGTAATTCATTAAAAAGTTCCAATTACGGTGTATCATCCACCTTCAAGAACTCTAAAAAGTACTCTTTAATTTTTATTTTATTAGTTGACATATTCACACATCGTATTATTAGAGTCATTTGTTCTTGATGAGCAATATCAGGGGTATAATCAAGATATATGAAAAAATATTTTGCCTCTTTGATGGTTTTAATTATAGAACTTTTAACATTATGGGCTAAAAGGAAAATCCATTCATTTTGAATTTTATGCCCAAGATAATGATAATGAATTTGACGATTTTGAAAGCATCTAACATGATCTTGCATTATCACATCAAATTTCACAATTATTTTAATCAATCCTAAGAAATTACCATTTACTATCTTGATAGAATTTTTCATTGGATCCTCGAAAAGCCAAATTATGAGTAGCAAGACATTTCACAACTGAAAATATTCTAAATAACACTTGCCTCCATCTCTCTTTCTCTTTCATAATTGCTTCTTGCAAGCTTTTATCAATTGTTTCATTTTTATCCAACCTTACTCTCATTTCATTCCAAGTATTCATATTAGTCATATGCTCACTACTATTTTCATGGTGTTTGAGTCTCTCACTAATATGCCTCCAATCAAAACCTTACTTGCTAACAAACTTTTATTACTAATAGATTTGAACAACTTGCAACAAAAACAAAAAACTATGTCAACATGTTTAGAATAAACCAACCATTTTCTATCCCAAATCTCACCATTGCTCAACTTCCTAGAAAAATAAGCATATGAAAAATGTCTATTACTATTATTGAAGCAATGCAAACGCATGACATGAGGGGGTAAAATTATGTAAAAGGAGACCACTTCAATTTACACCATCTTTTTTTGTTTAAAAAGCAAAAAATTATATCTGACATAAGGGAAACTACTTCAAGTGACCCCACCACTTTCTTCTTATAAAGCAATAAAAATTATTTTTTGAAAATCACATTAACAATTATGGAGAAAGGAAACAATATTAAACTAATCAAACAAAATAGACCTAACACTAATAGCATGTTTTCATTCTCAATAGCTCATAAAAAATTAGAGAAAAATAATACTGAATTTAACATGTGATTTTATTTTATTTTTTTGCGAGTACAATTTTAATTTCGGCCAATAATTACGATTTACAAATTAAATATTAAAATTTGAAAAGAAAATTAGGGTCCTTTGTAAGAGAAAATAGAAATATTTATATAACTACTCTTTAGTTATATTTACTCATTTAAACATATGAAATGATATATGTTAAATCAACTTGTACGTACGTTATTTCATAATTTTGTTACTATCTATTAATATTATGTAAGTATAATATAAGGATTAAAATGTGTAATAAATATAAAAGAGAATAATATTATATTTTTAGAAGAGTAAAATGTTTAAAGCTACTATCTCTCACACAAATATAAAAGTTTAGTCAAAATTATATTCTAAGAAAAAAATTTATTAGAAATAAACGTAAATTGTGGAATTTTCATTCGATCAAATGCTCCATTAACCGGGTACACAGACCCAGAGTTATATAAAATAATAACAGGAGGTGGGGTGGGCACTTGTGAGGCTAAACGAGCACCGGCGGTGTCGTAAAGCGATGCGCTCTTTGTTGGGTGACTTGTCTTGTAATTGTAAACTCATTTTATTTCTTGAAAAGACCCAGCCGCACCCGAGTGAGGTTAGATCCATCTGAATGAAATGTTAAACGATGCCGTTTTGCAGGGTTCGGTTGAGCAGTGGGTGGCACTGATGTGCGTGCAATGCAGAGATCACGTAAAGCTCTTCTTCTTTCCAGAAGAGCTTTAACCACTGCAGTTTCGGAGCATCAAATTTCTCTCTCTTTGCTTTTTGTTTTGTGGGCTCTACTCTTCCTCTTCCTCTTCACCTTCAGCTTTTGGATCTATCCCACTCGTGCAGGTCAATATTTATCAAATTTCACGCACTGCGGTTCAATTGAATCAATGATTATGTTATATTATAGAATCAAGCCAAACGAAATTAAGGATTTTTAGCTTATGGAAAATAGGTTATTGAATAAGGGCTTAATTCTCACACACCCTAATTTTAATTCTTTGGATGTAGATGGATCTGACAAACATTCAGTTCGATCGTCGAATTGGAAGGAAGATAAGCACAGACAGTGTGAAACTTCTGATTCTGCTAATCAGTGCTTAGTCAAAGAAATCAACGCTTACATTCCTTTTGAGGCTTTACACTCCAAAGATGCGGAGACTAATGATTTTGTTCCAAATGGAGAAAGCAGTGACTACACCGATTCTCCCGCTAGAGAGGAACATGAAGTTGAGAAACTTGAAGATGATGTGCAAAAGCATGATCATGATCACTTACTTTGGACTGTGCCTCGTGGTCTTGATGAATTCAAGAGCAGGGCAATTAGTTCTAAAATTAAGTCTGCCACTGGTTCTTCCACAAGCGTAATGCATAGAGTGGAGCCTGGTGGAGCAGAATACAATTATGCTTCAGCATCTAAGGGAGCAAAAGTTTTAGGTTCTAACAAAGAAGCCAAAGGTGCCTCTAATATCTTAACCAGAGACAAAGACAAGTATCTACGAAATCCATGTTCTGCCGAAGAAAAGTTTGTCATTATAGAACTCTCTGAAGAAACACTAGTGGATACAATAGTAATAGCTAATTTTGAGCACCATTCTTCGAATTTAAAACATTTTGAACTTCATGGCAGTCTCAGCTTTCCAACAGATGTTTGGGTTTTCCTTGGGAATTTTACTGCCTCAAATGTGAAGCATACTCAAAGGTTTGTTCTTCAGGAACCAAAATGGGTGAGATACCTAAAGTTGAATCTTCAAAGCCACTATGGTTCTGAATTTTATTGTACGCTAAGCATAGTTGAAGTTTATGGTGTGGATGCTGTAGAGAGAATGCTGGAGGATTTGATATTCACTCAAGATAATCTATTTGCACCTGGGGATGGTAATACTGATAAAAGGATAGTATCGCCCCACCCTAATCCTGCTGAGAGTGAAGATGTTCATCAAAATGCTTTTGGAGGAATCAATTCTGACCCTGCTTCAGATATCTCTTCTGCAAATCGCGAGACAGTAAATAGCAATGTTCCTGATCCTGTTGAAGAAATCCGTCAACAAGTTGGCAGGATGCCTGGGGATACTGTTCTCAAGATTCTGATGCAGAAAGTCCGTTCTCTAGACTTGAATTTGTTTGTTTTGGAGCGATATATGGAGGACTTAAATTCTAGATATGTCAATATTTTCAAAGAGTACAGCAAAGACATAGGAGGAAAAGATATACTTATACAGAATATCAAAGAAGACATTAGGAATCTCGTTGACCGGCATGATGTAATAGTATGTTAAATTCTATCTTGGATATTATTGGCATGCCTTGTATTTAATTATATAAAAACATTATTATTCTATGTTTTATTCATTTTGTAAATGATTTGTTTCCCTTGCAGACAAAAGATGCCAATGATCTCAATTCTTGGAAGTCCCATATTTCCATGCAGTTAGATCATCTACTCAGGGACAATGCTGTTTTGAGGTGAGAGTTTACAATACCAGCCTTTTATGATCTGTCACTACATGATTAAGGAGATAGTTCAAATTTAGTTACTAGTTTACTGTTAGGATCCAATTGCATGGTATGGGATTCTAGTATTTTGATTATACAGCCTTGGGCTCTTTAACTACAATGCCTAGCTTTTGTGGTGTGTTTCTTCCAAGGTTCTTTATTTACTTTCAGAATATCTTTAAAACAGTAGAGTAGTTTCTGTGCATCTCCATCTTGGTCTTTTTATCAGGGTTCTAAGAACCAAATCAACATTGGTCAATCTGACTAGAAAACTGGTGAACAGGCCAAAACTTCTTGAAATCAGAATGAACCAGGCAGCGTTCAAACCTAGCATCTGTTATGCCCCTGAACTAACTTTTCCACTGTTTTCAAGGACAGCAAGTAGTTATTTTTATTGACAAGTAATTGGAAAAATTTTATAAAAATGCTAAAATATTTTGGCTAAAATTACAGTTTTGTGGTTGTAAGACAATTTAAATCTTTCTACCAATAGTCTATGCTGTAGAATAAAATTTAAGAATTATAAGGCTTGCTAATTTTTAATGATGTTCAAATTTTATGATATATGTTTGGTAGTTTTTTAAGATGTTAAAGTCAATGTATTATTATTACGTGTATGATATATATACTTGTTTAAATTTTCATATATTTATTAGAAAATTTTCATAAATACGATTCCAGTTCAACCACAATTTGACATTGGATGAATCCTGGTTTCCTGGTCAATGACTAATCCAAAGTTTAGAAACTGGTTGTTGGATTTTATTTTATTTTTTGTGAAAATAAGTTTATGGAGAGTGGCGGTTGCCTTCCAAGGCATGCCACACGCTGTGCCAATGGCTTACAGTGATACTAGCAAAGACTTTCTAATGAAAGACTACCGAGAGCTTTTATTTTTTACCCTCCCATCCCGCTATCTTCTGTCATTTTTTATTGGGTGAAAATTGGGTAATGAATCAGTTTTAGCAAATAAATCAGAACAATAAGAGATTGTATCATAGTGAGAGCTGCTGCTATTTGTTAATGTCCATTCGGGGGAAATATAATCTTCATTTCTCCTCGTATTAGATGCAATTCCGCTGTTCTCATGTTGAAGTAGAGGAAGAATATGATTTCAATATATTTATCATGAGATGTACCCTTCTAATAAAGACCATCCAAATGAGCTTATGAACATTTTATACTATATCAAATATTTATAACAAGACGCATAGGTCTAGAGTACCTATGAAGATTTTGAAGAGCTAGGTGTAATCCATATAAAAAGTTTCACATGTTAGCTGCTGAAGGCTTATCATAACCCTCTTCCTTTATCTGTGCTTGGGACTGGTTATGGGGCCATAGGTGGAGTTATTTTTAAGAACTAGGTCTCGGGAATAAAATTAATCTATGCCGTACAACGATAATACAATGAGGAAAGTTGATATTATTTTGTGGTTGCTGTTTGATTATCCGATCTTGTTAAGAAACATTAAGATTATTTATTTTTCTTTAACTGACTATACTACTATTTATTTCTTTGGGATCTGATTTTTTTACCTTCCATTAGGTCCGAGGTTGATAAAGTCCGGAGGAAACAGGCATCTTTAGAAAACAAGGGTATTGTAGTGTTTTTAGTGTGTTGTATTTTTTCATTGCTAGCTATGGTACGGCTATCCCTGGACTTGGCTACGAGTATCTATAGAGGACTTAGTGTTAATAGAACAATTTACTCCAGGAAATTTTGTGCGGTTTGTTCTTCCTGGTATCTCCTATTATTGAATTGTATCATTATTATTTTCATATTAACTTTGTGATAGTCCATTTTTGAAATATGTCGTTATCTTGTGCGAGATGCTTGGTGATTGCGTTACTTCTTTCAATATACATCTATAGACTTTTTTCAAAGTTCACGTTGATTGTTTATTTCAGTTTGAGTACGACATACCCCGCTCGAAGGATGGTTGACAAATACACATACGCAAAATCCTCTATTGTATTTTCAAATTTGTGTTAATTAGGTTTATATTGATTATTCGCATTTGTTATTTGAGGAAGAATCCCAAGTTCCTTTAACAACCAAGTGCTCTTTGACCGTGGTATTTGATATATAACTACTCCCAAGTTCTCAGACCAAATCTAACCATACTTCATCTTACAAATTTCACAGATAAACTTATTCATTTAGAAAAAAATTTAAGGACATTTTTCATAAAGACTAAACTATAAATAAACATCACGTCTAAAATATCAAATTACAGAAGAAAAATTGCTTTAAGCACCAAAATAAATTTAAGCATACTATTATTGCCACATAAGTTTATGGCGAGCGTAAGACAAATACATCATTACATTGGTATCAAATTGACAGCTACAACATCCACGGCTTAAACGACATACAATTTTATACATGAGGATTGATTTCAAAAGTTTAATTAAACATCAATAAAAATACAAAAGCTCAATTGAAAAAAAAAAATTAAACATTAAACATAAGGATAAAAAATGTAATTAAACCTAAAAAAAAAAATATGCCCATAATTAGGATGCTCCAAATGTCAGCCACATAAAGCCATCAGGGATGGTGTATTATTTTTTTAATCATTACAAAGCAAGATACATCGGTTACATCCAAAAAAGAGTGCAAATTCCAAAAAAAAAAAAAAAAAAAACGTTAAAAGCTATAAAAGTAAAAAGAATATTGAATAGCAAAACATGATAAATGTATTCAAGTCCACCTTGAAACCAAACTTGGGGATCATTAGACGTGCCCGGAAAACATATACTAATGAACTATATAGTCATCTATTTACACAAACATTCCTCATCACCTAAATAAACCGGCAGAAACAAAGAATTCAGGATGACCTTATCCTCAAAGGTATGAACTGGGGCGGGAGCGGCCTCACCCTCCAAAAATGTATCAAAACATCAATTGTCGTCAAGCGATCACCAGTCAGCCATCTGTTAATATTTGTAACCTGAAGAACCTGGAGGAGCAGGAGGTAACCGATTGGGTGTCCGACGGCTGCCAGAGTTTGAACTTGAGTTCACATCACCATTTTGTGCAGGATCACTAGAATGTCGACTGTGCCCATTGGATCCTGATCTTGATGAACCACTACGGCTAACAGGACCATTGGCGGCAGCATCAAAGGCAGATCTCCAGTCATCACCCGGTCCACTGCTTCTTGGGCTACTCTCTGCCAAACAAACAATCAATATAAGTACATAAAATGGGAATCAGTTTCAATTCAAGACACAGTCATGTTCGTTGAAAAAAAAAAAAAAAAAAAGAATACTGGATATAAAATTTGGTTCATTTGTTCCTCTAAATTGCAGCGTGCACTTTAAAAAGTAAAATGCAAATTGTATCTGCTAAGAGAGTGAAATTCTAACACATTCATAATCTGTTGCTTAGGTTTATGTAATTTATTAAAATCTGATTAATCGATGATCAGTGGGTCCAGGATATGAATGTTCCATAGAAAATATCAGAATACCACAAAATGGTATTCATAAGTGGTAGAAATATTCAATCATCAATGATGTGTGTGGGTAAAAATTGAAAAGAACAATAAAAAATAGATGCTCCAATACATTATATGAACATTGATGATTCATCAATCCGGTAAATATGTTAACGAGTACTAAAGCAGCTTACACACACCTGCACTACCATTTGACCAACCAGAGGCAGCAGCTGCTCTGTTGTCGTGAATACTCAGCTGGCGTGTCAATTTTGAGAGAAGCGAGGATTGCTTCTGGTAACGCTCTCTCCTGCGCTTAACATTCTGATCTTCTAGAAGAAGCTCTTCAATCTTAGCCGTGTTTTGAGAACTAAGTAAGGAAATACGTAAAAAAAAATTAACATTCTAAAATCAAACCACTAAATATAAATATTAGTCATTGTTATTGTAATACCATACAAAGCTGTGACATCCAGATTAAACTAGCATGTAATATTTACTAACGCCTGAATAAATAATAAGTCATGTCAGTTTCGGATAGTATCCAAGGCTTCCCCTACATATATATTCCAAAACAAAAATTACTGCATCTGAACACACAACATACCCAAATACATATAATCTGTCGTGTGGTGGGACCCCCACACATTAAAATGTAATGTGTAAGTTCAAATCCTCCCCAATATTTTTGGAATACCATCATACTCTGTTAAAATAAATGAATAATTGATAAAACTGTCTTTTCATTTATTCAATTTAAATTTTTCTATTATTTCAACCATTTCTTTCTCTCCTTTTTCTCACACACACAGCATGAATCAACTAAGACTCCTCTTCTTAATTGTGAGTTCATGGCTGTCATGCCATATGTCATAAATTCAAGGCTTAATTACACTTTTGGTCCTTTAGAGTATATGCAATTTTAGTCTCTCTAGTTTTACAAATACTCAAATTAAGTCATCCACCACAAAATTTCATCCAATAATTAATCAAAATATAATGGAGGTACGACATCTTATTAATTTATACAAAAAAAATTATATACAATTAAATTTTCATAAATCAATAATATATTAGTATTTTTTTAAAATAATGTCATAAATACAAAATATTATATCATTTATTAACACAAATTTATAATGAAAAAAATAGATAAAATAAATTAAAAGACCTTTTACTATATTTTATACATTTTATTTTGTATTTTGATTTAAATATTTTCTATTTATTTTTACTAATTTTTATAAATCAATAATATGTCACACCTCTATTATATTTTTATTAATTAGTAGATAAAATTTTGGGGTGAAGGACCTAATTTGAGTATTTGAAAAACTAAAGAAATTAATTAAGCAATTAAAACTTAAGGGACCAAAATTGCACATATGATGAAGTATGGAGACAGTAAAATTAGGCCTCAATTCAAAAAAGTATTTTAAAAGGCTGAAACATTGCCAAACTTGGTCATTGTACAAAAATACTTGCTTCAACCTTTGTCCACCATATTGGGCACTTCGAAAAAGTTTGGTTGAGAGTGTGGTTCTAAACTGCAATTTATTTGATAAGAAAACAGAAGAGGTGCATGAGAGAGTAAGTGTGGACAAGAAACATCTGTGGTCCCAATCATGGTGTTTTACAGTATGCACAAAATATGATATCATCGTACAGGTGAGAAGTACACAGGTGTGAGCAAGGAAACCAGAAAATATAATTGAACTGAAAAAAAATATCAAAATGTGGATGATGCTAAATTACAAATAAATATGTGGAGTTTTATATATATATATGAGGGGGAGAGAGAGACAAAAGGAAGTAATTATCAGGAACTGAAAAAGGTAACAAGTAACAACTGATATTTAGATGATTTTCCCAGAGAGAATAACCAACAAGAAAAAAAAAACATCTCCAAAAACTTCTATAATCTCTTTACATAACAACAACTAAGCCTTTTCCACTAGGTAGGGTGAATTACATGGATTAAATGATGTCATAATGTTCTATCGTGAATCATGTCTACCTATCTTATCTAGTATGTGCACTCATCCAATGCAAAATTCTCATATGTTTCATTGAGTTTTTTCTCTTGATAACTGGGTTTACCATTAAGATTCAATTACATAATGCAGGTTTTGTAGCTATGCAATAAAATATTCCTGAAAATTTTAAGGGAATGTAAAGATATTTCAGAATCTCTTTACATTCCTTCAAAATTTTCAAGAATGAGATTGACAAAATGCAAGGAAGATATCTAATGCAAGAGAAGTAAAAAAATAAAAACAATTTTCTGAACCTGACAGAACTATATAATTGATTCAGCATGTCTTCCTTGGCTTTTTCAACTTGACAAAGGACAATTGCCTGACAAACAGAAAATGCATCAAATTAACTGGAAAAACTGAAAAAATTGTAAAAATGGCAAATGTTAAAAACAGAAGCTTACCTTTGGTACATTAGCAGCTAAACTATTTAACACTGCTTCAACATATCCTCGAACTTCTTGAGACATCCATCGAAGTTCTTCCTCAGGATCAGCAGGTCTTCGGGCCATTGTATCCTGAAATACAATAAGATAACATAATATAGTCAGTCATTAAACATAATTTCAGGAGCACCAATTGCCACATTATTTATTTATATTTAGTCATGTGATTATATTGATACATTTAGCCCATGTTAATCATTATAATCTAGTATATTGAGGCAACTTCCTAGACACTAATACTATGAACACTAATTGCTGTTATCATGTGAATTAATCTACCATTTCCTAAGTAATTAAGTACCATTATTTCCAACACTATCAAATGCATTGTGGATGTCATTTAATAGTTTCTATTTTAATTTCTTAACCGACACCCAAATGGCACACATTAAGAAAACTCATTTAAATAGAAACAATGGTTTTCAAAGAAGACTGCCCCAAAAAGAAGTCATCTCTGCAAAATCAGTTATAGTTGCAAAAGTTTAAATAAGAAATCATTTTATGATTACGAAAATTAAATAATTAATTGCAGCACATTCTAATTTCTAAGAACTGACTTTCATAAACAATAAATAAGTCTAATGACTGCACCATAAAAAAATGCAACAAGTGTAAAAAATGGCTTTAAGCCAGCAACTCACCAAGGAACCATCAGAGAGGCTGTGCCTCATTGTAGAGCCACCCTCAGATGAAATCCTTATCTGTCCTCCCTTTGCTTGTATAACTTTACTTATCTTATTAATCCATTCAACCTTATCAGCTGCACTCTCAGCCTTCAAAACAACAACACTGTGTGCTGCAAGAGAGAAAAACACACAAATTAAAATGTTTAAGAAGTTTATACAAAATAAACGTGTGCAAGTACCATCACAAGCTATATCAACGAGGATACTTTACCTTTCAGAACAGTTTTATAAGGAACTCTACTGGTAATTTTAAATGCAAGGTTGAC